TGCTTGCTTAAATGCCCCTTTTCTTTTACTTTTTACAAAAGCAGCTTGTCCCCAGTTTGCAGGAATGCTGGGCTCTGCTGGGCCAGTCTCCTGAATGGCCACACTCGGACTATCTAAGCACTCACAGTGAAAACACTGTAGCAGTGGTTCCCAACCTTCCTAACACTGTGATCCATTAACACAGTTCCTCATGTCGTGCTGACCCCCAACCATCAAATTCTTTTATTGCTACTTCATAACTGTTATTTGGCTACTGTTCCGAATCATCATGTATATATCTCACATGCAGGGTATCCGATATGCAACCTCCAAAGGGGCCGCGACCCATAGGTTGAGAACCAACACACTATAGGCTATATTAATTAAATTTCCACTTATGTAATTATTTGGGTGTGGGCATAAAAAATAAGTTGATATCATTGAAAGAAAGGAACCTCTTGTTCTCCAGAAAAAGCGATGTGGGGTTACTGTTATTATGACTACTTTGCAACCCTGAAGTAGAGAGAGAGCAAGGCCCTGACACAAATTCCTCAATGACTAAAAAACACATCCATCATCTATTTTCTGCATTTTGGGGAGAAAAAAAAAAGAGACAGTGAACTACTTTGCTCTCCTGGGATATTTGTTAAAGAAAAGTCTAATCAAGAGGAGGCTTTGGGTTGATCATGGCTAGCCGGCTTTACCCATGGCTCCTGCACAGGTCACCTCGGCTCTCAGGAATGGTAATACCAGTCAAACACACATCCAGCAGACATACTTCTGGATGACTGAGCCAGAGACTCCTTTGTGACTGTGACTGCTGACACAGTAGGCTCTGAGGAATTACAGAGGATACGATTCCCCACTCACCTAGGGAAAACCCATCCCATCTCAACAAGCTAGCCCTATGCATCCTCAGCTTTCCACAGGCTTCGCTTGAGTTCATTAGATAGCAAAATCAATGACCACGTGCCCGTTCATTCTCTTTCCTGTGTCTCAACCTGTACGAGAATGCCTTTCTATTTTAGGATACTTACTATGAAGAGGATGGACTGTCTCAAGCATCTAGACAGGCTTTCTCAACAGCGTCAAGCATGCCAGGATTCAAAACAAACAAACAACACACACCAGAATTCTTCCTCTAGGTTTGGTTTAAATAAGCAACTGTATGATACCCTGCCACCATATTTACTCTAGAAATAATCACTTCAAACAGTAACTGTTCAATCAATTTTTAAAAAGTAAACAGGGGTGGTTAAATATAATCAAACAATGGTTATGGAAATAAAAATTTTGTTACTGAATATTAGTTAAGGAATTTTAAAAATTCTTATTCATTGTAATGACAGGAATCAAATCCAAGGCTGCATTTATGCTATTCAAATAAGCTGTCCCCAGCCTCAAGGACATCTTCACAATTTATATTTCTGAATTGCAGAAGGACTCTTCTCAGAAATAGGGATGGTCTGATGTCCTTAAACAGTGAGAAGGTCTTTTTTTTTTATTTATTTTACATCACTGGTTTGTCTTCATCCTTATCCCTGTCCATTCTTCCTAATAGTTCTCAATTTTAATTATCAATTTAGGGTGACATAAAATGGTAAGTACTGACTAGAAAGGAAGAGAAATCGCATTTAAGCAAGTCAGTGGATCTCCAGAAAGGAAAGTTACCTGGCTGGGTAGGGCTATTATGACAATGACTAAAGAAAAACTAATGAAGACATGGTTTCTCGTCATAAAATGAATAATCTCGGAGGCAGGTAACAATAGATGCTTGTACTACACAGTTCAATGCACGCTCATGAGACACAGCAGAAACTACATGTCACAGAGGCCCCAGCAGAGAGATGCAGGAACTGCACATCACAGAGGCCCCAGCAGAGAGCTGCAGGCACTGCATGTCACAGAGACCCAGCAGAGTGCTGCAGTTGGCAACTTTCTAAAATGGGCCTTCTTCAACATAAGCACCCTTCCACACCCATCCATTTAGTCAGCACCGACTAAGGCATAGGGGTGTTGGTAATAAGAAGGTGAGTAGGGAGAGGGGAGAAGCCCTGCCTCTCAGAGTTTAGAACCTAGTTCACAGTTACTGCACTGCAAGGGGAACAAGACAGGCCGATCCACTTGCTCTAAGATAAACAACTACTTTCCACGTTATTCAAGACTGAAATTCAGTAGTGTGCCTTTCCTATCTTAAAAAAAAATGATGAAGTAACAAAAGTTAGGGGCTATTTATTTATGTCTCCTTGGTAATACACCTGCACATACAATGATGACAGCTAAACAATGACTAGCCATCAGGATTTCAAACAGTTAAGACCAATGGTCAATGTCTAGACACATGTCAGGCTAAAAACTGTCCTCGCGTGACTGAAGAGGGACATTCAGTTCCAGTTGGGTCAAGAGAGCAGGATGGGGTTAAGAGGAACCAGCTGAGAAGCAGGTAATGGCAAGCCCATAAGTGACAGAAGGCCTTTTCTCCTCCCTCCACCAGCCAACAGTGATGTCCCAGTTACAGTATACAGCTGTCCAGCATTTTACATTAACTCTGCCAAGGGATTACAAAAAGCTAGGCTAAGTGGGGAAAATCCTTCAGCTTGGCTATTAATCTGAAAAGGTATTTCAATGAAAAACAGATGTGAAATTAAGGGATCACATTTGTAGTCTGAACCCTTCACAGTAGGAGGTGCTTGGGGAAGGTGTACACCCACGACAGTGTTTCTTTCCTGCATCCTGCTATTCTTCCTAACGTGGCCTGGAAAGCAGGCATGCACAGAGCTGCAGTTAATGCCTTCCAGGCAAAGTAAAGCAATATGGAAGTGGCTGTCAGTAATCTGCCATGGCAGCTGAGACCTAATAGAGTCATTTCATTCTGCACAATATTTATCTGTCAATTCACTAATTTGGTTGGTTCAGTTATTTTTTCATTATCAAATATTGAACAAAAATCAGAGCTACAGTCAACCAACATCCCCACCCTACCCCTACCCCCTGTACTCAGACCAAAAATAAGAATCTACTTGTTTTTATTTTCCTCCTCTGGGCAAGAAATGTTTGGATTTATTCACCTAATTTTTAGGCTGGTCAGACACTGAGCCAGGGAATGTGCACGTGGCTCCTGTCAAGCAGTCCTTACTGACTATAAGATGAATTGGAAAGGTGACAAGACCTTTCTAAACACGTGGTTATGAAACCAGCAAATGTTAACTTGCCTAACTCATTCCAAATGAACAGTGAAATGAATTCCATGACCCGATTTTCCATAACCCCTGCCTGGTAACATCATTCAGCCACTGTTGGTCTACTAGTAGTCATGGCATGTACCTACAAGACTTCAAGAGATTCCTTCTCTTTATTGTGCCTACTCCTTTGGGAAGAGCCAGCATCTGCAGAAAAACTCCAAACATGGACATCACTGACAGTTTCACAATAACACAACAAAACAGGAAAACAAGCAATTTTAAGAGACAAGAAGAGAGAAAAGAGCAACATCCTCCCACAGCTGAATAGCAAAACAACTCTGTTATGGAATGATGGAGTTGTTAGGTATAAATCACAGGCTCGCTGCTAAGTCAAAGGAGCCAAGCACTGCCCATCCCTGTCCTGCACATGTTCAGATGGAAAAGACATGGCAATAATAGCTGTAATGCTCAAGCGCTCACAGCTCAGCGATTGTCCCCATGAGCTTCTGCAGCACTAGCTGAGTGACAGAAGCAGGAAAAAGAATCAGATGATAAGGGAAGAGCTGTTTTGGCCAAACCTTCAAGGCACAAGCCTGGTCTGGAAGCATAAGAAGACAGCATTCATGGAATTTCAGGCAATGCTGTGGGACAATGATCTTATACTCTTTAAAGATTTGTATTGTTTTAATATAATTTAATTTAGTAAAATGCTGACTGGCCAGTAGCTAGGCAGGAAGTATAGGTGGGGCAACAAGAACAGGAGAATTCTGGGAATAGGAAAGAAGTCTGCAGTCATTACCCAGATGCAGAGGAAGCAAGATGAGAATGCCTCACTGAAAAAGGTACCAAGTCACATGGCTAACACAGACAAGAATAATGGGCTAATTTAAGATGTAAGAAAGAGTTAATAAGAAGCCTGAGCTAAAAGGCTAACCAGTTTATGATTAATGTAGACCTCTGTGTGTTTCTTTGGACTGAAAGGCTGTGGGACTGGGCAGTACAGAAACCTCAGTTAACAAGGAAAGCTCAGAATGTGCAGGTCAAAACAGCTCCAGATGAAACTAAAGAGGATTCTAGTGACTCTGGGAAAACTGTACCCTTCTAGAAACTGCAAAGAGGTGCTCAGCACCTCCATAAGCAGGAGAGTAAGGGCCATCAGTGCTGGCATCTTATCCCCATCACTCCTGCCTCTGACAACTGTCCGAGGACTCCCTCAATAACCAGTTCTGGCAGGAGCCATTCATCTACTGACTTCTCATTTTCTCTGCCTGTGATAAGCCAGGAAGCTATACCAAGAATCCCGGCCTTCCCTTCTGCCCGACTCTTTCACTTCTATTTCTTTCTCTTACCTTAACTACAAACTGTATCTGAGAATTAATAAATGAATTGGTAAAGAAAACTAATTGATGAAAATATGGAATTTTAATTTTCTTGACTGAAAAGAACGTCCACTACAAATCTATACTGTACTAAGCAGATAAAAACAACACATTTAAAGGTGACACCATTTTGGCATATTTAGGCAATCACTTTTCATGTGACTGACTTACTCAGAGGCAACCGGAAATGGAATATCAAAGAATTCTATGTTCTAGCCAAAGAGCTTACCAGCTATCCCCTTAACCCTGTCTTGCATTCCCCATAGGTGAAATTCTGCATTAGTTTTAAGAGGTCTGGCAAAAATAGAACTTAAACTGTTGAATTTCTATGGTAAGTGACTTTAATGTTCAATAACTATTTGCTAAGTTGAGGAGGTGAACCAGAGAACATAACCATGATACACTGATACATTATCTGGACTGGATCAACTTAATCACCGAAGTTACTGCCTTTACTTACATACTCTCCATAGGTGTCCTGTGTTGGGGGTAACGGTGGAGGTCTGTATCCAGTTGGGGGGACACCTCTTGCTCTGGGAGTGAGAAGTCCTCTTCCCCGGCTCACTGGCCCTCGGGTGGAAAGGACTCCCCGGGGAGTGGGTGTCCCACGTGGTACCCCAACTGCAACAGGCCTGGTTGTGACTCCTCCTCTTCCCCTAAAAGCAAGATGATCAAATTAGCAGGATCTGTCATACTTTTTAACACATTATTCTTCATACGTTGATATCTCAGACAAATCAATGTTCCACACGTCTATAAAATGTAGTAAGGATAACACAGACAAAGTAAATCACAGCAAATAAACATGTATCTAGACAGCTAGCGTAATACAGTATGGGAATATCTAAGGCAGAGCTCTGACTTCTGGGAGGCCACATGAATTCCAGAATGGCAGCCAATGTGATCCCAATGCATGAGTGGGTCCTATCTTGTTCATCTATGGATAAGGAATCTGAGACTCAGAGAGAGCTTAAAATTGCCAGGAATACATGCAGAGCAAAGAAAGGATTCAAACTGTATGTCACACTCCACACATGGCTAACACACAAAAGATTGAGGGAACAGAAGCAGGCATCTGTGAGGGGTCTGCAGTTTCTAGGTCAACCCTCCACAGCAATCTCCAAATGTGTAGTGAAAGCCAGAGGCAAAGGTGTACTGGCTGGAGGGCACCCCATTCAAGTTGCTCCCCAAGTCTCTCTCCTGGGGTCTCAAAAGACTATGATTTAACTTCAGATCCTCATCCTGAAGTGGCAAAGGTAAAGCAATGCTAGAAGATTCTATAAGCCAATTTGTTCTACTCTGAGACTCCAAAGTGGTCCCACAAGGCACATGCCCTTCAAACTTATGCCATGAGGTAAGAAATATGTGAACAAGAGGGAATTCTAGGTGGTCACTGCTGAGTGATTTCCACATATGCCTTCAACTAGGAACACGGGAGCTTCCATCAATTTACCATGTAACAGGGAAAAAACAAAGAAGATGTAGACAAGATAACTTCAGTTTGATAGACATGAGTAAACAACACATGGTGATAAGAACCAGCTTCTGGGGAGCTACCCAAAGATCCTGTAATACAATCGAACTGCAACACAGGAAGCTTTTAAAAAATAGTTTGTCATTTTTGATACATGGTCTCACTATGTAGCCCTGGCACAGACCAGCCTAGCTTCTGAGATTACAAGTTTGAGACCTTGATCTCATTCAGGAACTAAACAGGCTTTCTTCATCATTTGCCATAAAGGAAAATCAAGATAAATTTGAGTCACAACCATCAACTGGGAATAGTTTTACATGAATGGAAGCTTTAACTAATCATGGTTTACACATGCAGATGAAGGGGTTTCTCCAACTCGAACATTCTAGAATATAGAAAGTAAGTCTCTTCCGTACCTCCGGGCAACATTGCCACCTTCATGGAAAGAGTACCCAATTATAATCTACGAGTGATTTAAAGAACAGTAAGGTTTCACACACTGTCATGTGTGACATGCTCCATCATGACCTTCTCTAGTCAGTGGAGACTCGTCTTGAGCTACTATTTGAACATGTGATATGTAAGAGCTATTAATTAGTATGATGAATTTTATTATATACTTGTATAATATAGTAAATATGAGAATATGTGTTTTTGTGTAGTAAATCTACTTGCATAAGGTTATGTATCTGTCACTCATAAGAACATTTACAGACTTATATTCCAATATGGTGATACCTATTTCTGTATCCACAGGTGGTCAGGCTAATTTCCTAAATGATGGTTAGTGGCAGGAATCCATTAAATGTGGTCGGTGTACACTTGCACAAACTAAAGAACAGAACTTTCTGCATGCTTAGGGTATATTGCGGTGCATGTTCTATCTACTATTACAGGAGAGGCAGCGCAATGGCTTCTTTATATCATTGTTACCATGGTTACTAGGCTATAGGATTTGTTTTAGCTGCATTATAATCTAGAGAGTCCACTCTCCCATCGACATCACTGAGAGCACAGGACTCTCCATTCAGGGCGGCTGTTTCTTATCTGTCCACACATGCGATTTCCTTTGGAAGAAAGATCTGAACAAGACATTCCAATCCACAAAGGGAACTCTATGTCTGCACAAGTGTACCACTCAGCCTAAAACACAATACCTGGCCCCCATACAAGGAAACATACAGCAGAAAGTGGTAACGTACAGGCATTACAAGTTTGAAAACTTTCAAACTTACCTACTGAACATACTTTGACAAGTGACATAGTTTGGGAAACCTGTAGCTCCCATCACATGAAGATAAAACTGGCATAGCAACTGCAGTAGGACGCTGGCTTAACCATGGGAGCCTGTGCAGGTTATGTGAATTGCACATAAAGGCCTGACGGAACCCAAGCAGGCCTCCGTACAGTCACACGCCCTTTTCAAAAGCGAGAGAAGAGGATGTGACTGTGTAAAGAAGGAGGGATCAGACACAGATCATAAAACCCTGCAGCCACCAGGACAGAAAGAAGTGACACGGGCAGGCCAGAACCTCACCCTTGGCTTAATGACACTGAGTTTGCACATCTGGTTTCTGTTTCTGTGAGGAAAGAAAAGAGAAAAAAAAAAGAAAATTCTACCTAAAAGATAGCAGATCTCTGGCAGCTGGTCATGGCAGCTACAAGTAAGTAGCTAATTTCAAGCAAGACCAACAAGTGGCAATGAAGATTCCCACTAGACTTTTGCATAGCAGCCCTTAGCTCTTTCTTCTTAGGACCCGAGGTGCCTGTGCCTACCTACAACACAGCAGCACAAACAGCTACTGACCAGCACACTCTAAGGAAGGAACTTTACCCCCAAATGAACTTGAAGATATAAAATAACTGCGATTTTAAATTTCAACACATCATGGATCTGAAAAATAAATTTCTACATAGTTGCCAGCTTAACAGAGAAGTTGAAATTACTAGCTGGGGGTGGGTGGTGGTGCAGACTGTAATCCCAGAATTCAGGAGACATAGGAAATCACTGTCCCCAAACATAGTTTCATAACAAAAGGATTCACCTCTTTCTCTCAAATGTTAAGATAGCCGTCTCAGATTTCTCTCATTTCTTTGAAACATTTGTTTCCTATTATAAACTAATCATCAATCCAAAGACAGAAATATAATCTTTGTGTCCACATGCAAGCTCAGCAGTTTTCATCAGTCCCAGGTTATGGACAGTGGACACAAGGCAGAGGCATTCATGGGCCTCACCCTGCCTGACAGTGTGCTCAGCACTGGTGGGGAACAGCCCAATAGGGGGCAGTCAGTGCATGCGGAGGGTGTCCGCGTATGGTGCTACATATGTATACTGCTACATAAGGACTTAAAATGAAGCTCCACCTCTGGGAACTGGAGAATCTGTGCTGGGGAGAACAGCAGTGTGGCAACAACCACTAGCCAGGAAGGCGTGCGGGATGTATGCAAGCTTAAGTTCAACTTCCTCACACCAAAGTCAGTCTCCTGACTATGACATCACAGTGTCTGAACGCAGATTTGTACAGATACACTGACAACTATTTCCATCTACTAATGACAGCAACATTCAAACTACTGCCGTGGTCTCCAACCTAAAACAAAAAGTAATGATACCTACCTGGTTATTGCTGGTGTTGTTACACCTCTTGTACGCAAAGTAGATTTTCCTCGAACCACTGGAACATCTGCATTTTCTGAACCTCCATTCAAATATGTTAATTCCTGGAGCTGCGCTTGCCTGATTTCATCATTATAGTCCTGCACAGAAAAGATATTGAAAATACAAAAGCACTTAGACTATAAAGTAAGCAGTTTTTTTTTTTTTTTTTTTTAAAGAAAATGCAGTCAGGAAAGCTGTTAAAATATGATTTAAAAGAGAAACCCACTGTCTAAAATAACAGGTAAATCAATGTCTCTCCTTTTCTGATGCATAATTTCCAGCTGAGATATCTGTGATGACACAGGGCCACATAGCTGAGACGTGGACACTGCTATGCACAGCTCCATTCACTCATAACTACTGAGCACCTACATAGCGACTAGCAGAAAAGCCCAAGGGAGCTGGTCACAGCACATTCACATCAGGCAGACAGCAATGCACACATGCACGCACGCAAGCATGCTTAACTTTTTCACACTCCTAAACTCCAGGACTTCCTGCCTAGGGAACAGTGGCAATTACAGCAGGAGGGTCTTCCCAACTCAATTAAGATAACAAAGATTATTAAATAATCCTAGCGCAGACTTGTTCAGAGACCCATCAGAGGTAATTCTAAACCATGTCAAGTTGACAATTACCACTACCATTATGCAGCACAAACAAGAAAATCCCAGATTTATAAAGTTGATTAAGCAATCTGACCCTGTAAATTTGTACTGTTTTCACAAAGCAGCAATGTCCACACATTAAACTCTGAAACTACAACTCCATCCTGCTTCCTTCCACTTTGTAACTTTCCTCAGTTCCATTTGATAATCAACAAAGACACAGAATAAACAGATAAAACTGTGTCATCACTGATGTGCAATATTTACAAACAGGAAAGTCTAACTTAGCTGTCTAGTAGTCAAAGGAACTTCACTAGAGGGCCCATCTGCGGAAGAGAGACCACGTCATCAGAAGCGTGGCTCAAAGTTCCACACAGAAGGAGATAAAAGACTCAAAGAGTATTAAATTCCAGAAAACAGAGATACTAGCTAGGTCAGATGGTGCTCTAGGTCAACCTGGAAAACAGGTAGAGTATCACAAAAATGAAGAAACAAATAATAAAAAAATACTATATGTACAAATTATAAAGACAAAAAGGGGACTAAAAGAAAAAGCAAAAACTAAATCATGTAAAGCCATAAGTCACTTTAAAGGTAACTTTCAATAAGTTACCTTTTCAAGAAGGAAAGTTGCTGAGACAATTTAACAATTTTGGGGGCATAAACTACAAATTTAGGTTTACATTCTGGAGTGGACAAAACAAACCTTCGCTCTGTAGGAGAGGCAGAGGAATGAGAAAGATCCAGGGTGTCACGTGGGTGCAGTCACACACAGTCTACGCTGCGTTACAGTCTATCAAAAGCTCAGGGAGCAGTCTGGGGACTAGCTAACAGAAAAGCCACCCGTGACCAGTGGAATGGATGGAGAAAGCGTACATGGACTCCATCTCAGTGAGATAGAGGGGAAGTGAAGGCAGGAGCGTTTCCTGACATTTGGCTACAAAACGGTACTCACTGACACAAGGCTTCGTAGGTTCAGAAACTGCAGGGGGCCTTCAAACTGGAAAACCATGAGCACACATCAGTGTGGACGAGGAATTCAGGTGTGCATTAAAGTATTTATAAGCTGAGTTAAAATTCTGAAATAAACAGTACACTTACAAGCAAAACTATGTCTTTTCTCCCTGGCTTTCCCCAAGTACAAAACAAAAAATAGTAGATTCCATGGAACAAAAGAATCCCATGAGCACTGCCAAGAAGAAAGCTACAAAAAACCAGCTGAAGGAGGGGACGCACTGAAATGAAAACCACTGCTGTTGCAGACAGGGGCGGGGCTACACACAGAAATCCTCTCCCAAACCTATCTATGCCTCAGAGTGGTCATCCGCATCTTTCCATTGTTCCCAACTGTCTAAAATAAGACTGCTAATATCCTATCAGCCATTTTGCTAAAAATGTGTGAAGATTAATAAATAATTTGCAAAGCACATTCTAAATAAAATGTGCTAGAAAAATGCTAATACTCGCCCAGTGGAAAATTGTTGGAGGTGTGATAGCTGTAGATGGCTAAAAATAGATCTGGTTAAAAGATCATGACTGAAACACTGTTTAGACATCAGTAAAAATTTGGGAAAGTCAGGTTAAAATCATTTGCCCTAAGTCAGATTAAATGTTTATAAGAGTCCACGTTAAACATTAGCTTTGCAAAACTATTTTAAAATACAGATACCAAGTGACTGGATGTGTGACTGTGTTTTTTAAGGCAGTTTAAAAGATATGGTTGGTTTACACTTGTAATATCAGAATGGGCAGGCGTGACAGATACACCAGTGGTGGTTTATGGACTCAAAACTTTAACTCTCCAGGGGAAAATAAAACCACTGCACCAGTTACACGTGCATCACTAGTCAAGAGTAGAAAGGGATTGGAACTGTAGTCCCCCACCCCCCGTGTCCAGTCATATGTGCACATGACTTTTCTACCCAGTGAATTTTGCGTGCTATGTGAACCTGGAGGATGGGGAAAGTTTCTAAGTGACTCATTAAAAGTGCCGCTACAGCACTGACTGGGGGGCTGCCAACCCCCGGGCCTGATGACCTGAGTTCAATCCCTGGTACCCAAAGGGTGGAAGGAGAGAAATGACTCTCGCAAGTTGTCCTATGACATTCAAAAGCTGAAGCACGTGCACTGCACAACAGTTAACAGTAACATTGGAATTCAGTGTCTTCTCAGACAAAAAAAAATACTATTCATAATTATTTCCCAAAATAGCACAATATTTATGTTTAAGGTTTTCTTGGGATCATTGCTGATATTGTAACTTTGGGAAATAACTTTGAGTCTCATTATTTGAAGACCAGCTAAATAAACTTAGAAATGTGCACACAATGTAATACAAATATATTTAAAAAAAAAAAAACAGTATCATGAAACTTCACCGAAACAAATATACAAAATCACATAAATTTGAGGAAACAAAAAATAGTGAGTAGAGATGGTATATTTTAGATACTGAGGAAAGTGTCTCTATGAAGAACAGTCCAAGTAAAACGGCTCAAAGACACCATTTAAGGAGTCTGAGAAGGGATTCAAGCAATACAATAAGATGAAAATACAATAAAATCACTCATGAAAAATTGCTAGATTGCAGGTGAGAAAAGAAGAGTCTGAGGTATGTTCCCTTGGGGATGACATCACTCCTCCATTTCAGCCAGAGCATGAAGAACCCATAGCTCTGAAGAGGAATAAAGAAAGGGTAAAGCACTCCTTGCCAGCAGTAACATGGCCACTGCAGTCAGAACTTATGTAGTAAATAAATGAGGAAGAACAACAGGTCAGCAAGCCTGACATGGCCACCTTCTAGGCAAGCAACACACTGGCTCACCAGGGGGTAACAAAATAGAGCCCAGAAAAGAGCCAGGCAAGACCTGGATAAGCTGTTGTGCACACTTGCCTCACAGGAGTCTGTGCAGAGGAGACATCAAAGACTCCCAGCAGGAAGGAAACACAAGGTAGACATGAAAATGAACCATGCTGGAGTCCATAAAGCATAGCAACAGGAAAATCAATTTAAAACAGGCTCTGAGCACACATCCCTTGGCTAACCATTGGTGACAACTAAGCCATGTAGACACACAACATGTTCTCTTCTGGAGGGACAGAAAAAAATAAAAACAAGAGAGAAAGACATAAACACACCTAAAAGCATGAAGGGCGCAGAGCCCAGGGATTTAGTTCAACATAATTATAGGAGAAATGGAAGACAGAATGCCAGCAACAGCAGCTTTTTGGAAGCGAAGTACGCAAAATTCAGATTTTCTGTGGTACGTTATCTAAACTCAAAAACAACAGATAAAGAGACGTGCAAAGAAAATGTGAACAATTCTTGTAGAGGAAAAGCAGGCAAAGGCAACCATAAAAGAAGAGATGAAAAAGTAAAGCCACTGCTGGCGAAATCCCCAGAGAAGCTGCTCAGCAGAACTGGGATAGTGCAACTAGGGAACCTGAAAGCAGGCCATTTAAATAACCCCACCTGAACAACAGAAAGGGAGAAGAAAAACAAGCCTGCAGCTACAGGACAGGCACAGACAAGCCAACGTGGACTGACGGGTAGGTGGGTCATTCAGGGTGGAGCAGAGAAAGAAAAACTCAAAGAAATAACAATTGAAAACATCCCACATGTAAAGAAAAATATATAAACCTAGAGATCGACAGAGCTTACCCATCACAATCACGACAGACGTGATAGCCACCATGTCCAAAGCCAAACTGTACACACAGCAAGAGAACAAGATGTCAAGGACAGAAGCAAAGTGACTCCTGGAAGTAAGGGGCCACAAATCATACAGAGAAATGGCCAAAGAACTGTGGGCACAAACTGCCAACCAAGATTATAAAGCCTACTCTCCACTAAGTAGGGCAGGTAAACTCATTCTCAGAAAATCAAAAAGGAAGCAGGTCTACTTTATCAGAAAGACTAAAGTTAGTTCTTCAAACTCAAACCTAGGGCAGCTCCATTCTCATGGAAAGTAACACTGAAAAAGACAAGGGTAAAAGCACTTCCAATCAGCCAGTCTTTCCTGGTTACCGGCATCGAACTTTAACAAACCAACAGGAAACCATATTTTGTAATAAGTGAAGCGGACAATATATGAAGATGGAGTGAACGTAAACTTTACCTTACAGACTGACCAGTGTGATGTGCTTCTATCAGATTAAAGGAGGGAAAACCACAGGAACTTTTGATCTCAGTAGCAGTAGACAGAAGACTGGGGAGCGAAGTGGGGGTAGGGTGACACACACAGAGACAAAAGACACCAAGGAAAATATCACAGGCACCTGGTGATCTTCAGTAACAGGGTGATAGGTATGTCACAGAAGAATCCTAATAATTAGATAACTAGGGTTTTATTTAATTGCCCTCTATTTTTTTTAATGCCTCTATTTTTTCAAAACACTCTTTAGAAATAGTAAAACTCCCAGCAAGGTCAAAGAGTAAAATCAATATGAAAAAGACCAATTGTACCTATAAATAAATGTTCCACTCCCAACACTATCAAGAAACATAAAATATTTGGAAATGAAGCTAGAGAAATGGCTCAGCAATTTGAGTATTTGTTGTTCTTGCAGGGGATCAGGGTTTGATTCCCAGCACCCACACTAAAACTCACAACCTTCTGTAACTGGAGTTCCAGAGGACCCAACACCCTCTTCTGGCTTCTGTGTGCACTGCACACATAATAATATAGACATGCAGGCAAAACACTCATACATATAAAATAAAAATAAATCTGTTAATATTTGAACATGGTCTTTACAAAATAAGGCAGGATTGTACTCTGAAAAAAGAACTACTTCTGACTTTAAAAAATATTGTTTTTGAAAATGAGAAGTATTTCATACTCATAGAAAAGAAGACACAAAGTTAAAATTAACTCCCAACTCATCTACAGATTCAACAAAACATCTAGCAGAATCCTTGCTAAACACTGTAGAAGTTGGAAGCGGATCCTAAAGCAAACTTGGAAATGCAAAGGAGCCCAGACAACTGTAAGAAAGGACAACAAACCATGGCGCCTGTCACACCTACACTGGGGAGAAGACACAACTTACATCACAGAGACAGAGGGTTTGGGGTAAGCCTGGGCTAACATTACTGAGAGATTTAAAAAAAAAAAAAAAGGAGGAAATCAACACAAAGTTGGACAATTACATAGCCAGATTTCAAAGTTCATAGAAAGGATGAAGGAAAAGTGTGCAACTGGATTGGAGCAGGCTGACTATAAATAAGTGGGGTAGAACTGAGAGTCCCAGTCCCAAATACAGATTGTGCTAGGCAATTCAACAGAGGAACAACAGAAAAGGTCAAATTTAGATTCTAATCTCATACCATACACAAAACTAATACAAAGGGATTTAAATGGAAAAAATCTTATGAGGTGTTCTTGGGTTTTTTTGTTTTGTTTTGTTTTGTTTTTGACAACATCTCGCTATGTCAGGAGCCATTTCCCCCCAATCATTACAGGAACCATCATCCTGGAGAGTCTGCAGGGAACCTCACACCCATAATTATGTTCTATTGAGAAAATCTGCCCCACACCCAATTAAGCTGTTGATGGAGAGCTATCTGTTAGGGGAACCCGCCTCACATTCCGGCTATCCAGGGAACCAGGTGTGGCAACTTGTGACTTCCTGGCCTGTCTGTCTGAATGTAACCTGGCCTACGTGACCTAGAACACGCGGCAAGAATCCAGTTGCTCTACCCCCCATTCCTTACCATATATAAACTGTAACCCGTCCCTAATAAACGGAGGCTTTGACAAATCTGCTTGGCCTCCTTCTTCTGTCTTAGCTCATTCCCTTCCAGGTAGCGCCCCTCCGTGACCCTGGAATAACTGATTGCAGGGTGGGTTACAAACCCCTAGACTGAGTAACCCAACCCAACGCAATCAACATCGCTGTGTAGCCCTAGCTGGCCTGGAAATTGGTATGAAGGTCAGGCTGGAGTCAAACTAACAGAAACCTTCCTGCAACCCAAATAAAGAGTTTAAAGGGGCATACTATCACACCTGGCAAAAAGATCCTTCAACGAAATACTATTAAACATGTATAAAGAAATAGCAGAAGATACTAGTAACTTTGCTTTGACACACAGTTTTTTAGCCAGTCCAGATTCCGGGTTAGAAAAATAAGACCCTACCTCCTGATGGAGGACTATAAAGGCCATGGGATGTACCAATGCAGCCATCTATGGAAGAAGGAGTCCGCCCTGTGTGCCACAGCTGCAGTTTTTGTCATCTATGTGAGCAGACGGTTCCCAATGGCCTCTCTCTCAAACTACAAACTCTGGAGGGAAGGGACTCTCATCACTGGCTTACAAGTGTCTCCCACTTCAACATACATGTAATAACTGGTTCCTTGATAACATTTATGAACATGATCCACACTGGATGTTAAGTCCATCTTCCAGCAGAGTCCAGCACTACTCAGTACAGTCTCACTGCAGACAGCTGCCTGGCAGATTTGGTGACTTCTCTGCAGCATTTATCCATAGAGACAAGTTTAGCTTCTCGTGAGCACACAAAAGGCTCTTTTCATGGCTAGTGAAGGCAGGGATACATTCTGCTATAGAGAGGGAACGAGCAGCCTCCGACTACAATATTCCCTTTAACTCATCACTTCATGGCAGTGCCTGGTGTCTGAAAGTTCCCCAACAGAGCACACCCTGGAAGCCCTTGTGCTCTGAGCATCACCACAGGCATGTCTGCATGCTATACTCAACCATCCACTAAGGTTTCTATTTTCCCTTAAATGACAAATTCCTAGGGGACAGGGACTGCTTTTATTTAAGTCTGCATGTCCCATACCATTCACAGACTAGGCATATGAAGGACATTAATGACTAAGGGACAGCATGGAATTTATGTGGCATTTTCAGGATCACATTAAAACTTACCTTGGAGTCCCAAAATCTGAATTAATGATTCTGTTCTTCCAATATTTTAGTCTTATAAGCTTGATAGTAATATTTAATTTGTCTAAAATTCCACTGTTTTAAAAAGAAGCACCGTGAGGTCTACAATACAGGGCACATAGGAAGTTCTTAAGAACTGTTACATCAGTAACAACTAGGAATCAGATCATCGGGGCTTTGGGGAAAGACACAACCTTAAGATACAAGTCAATGATCAGTGAAAAGTACTGACAGGGATGAGGAACTTCTTGATCTCTTCCAAGGCGTGTCCCATTCGGGCATAAGCTTCCGCTGGGGGAGCGAACACTTCGATGAGCACGTGCAAGTCGTCATTGAGGTGGAAGTATTTCGCTTCCCCACTTTTCCTCAGCTCTTCCTCCTAAAGAAAATCCCATTGAAAATGTGACATGTTAAACAGGAAAAACAAAGCAAAGCAAAAATTGCCCAAAACACATTTGACACATGCTTGTCATGGAAGACTCCGCAACAATTAGCACCCCAAGATGGGTTTAAACTACACATTTAAGCCTATGTTTCCCAGGTTCTCAGGAACCCTGGACAGGCAGCCTACCCTGCTGAGATTGTCTCCCTGTCTGATGTCGCACCTAGGGAATCACCTGCTCTTGCCACCTGCTGACTCCTGTCAGCTCCTGCCTGCCCCATTATCTACCCTAGCTACGTACACACCTCTGTTCTACTTGGCTAAGCGCCCAGCTCACCTCTGCACTATTGATGCTCGTTATATAATGGGGCTAACACCAAGCTTTACCACAATTCAAAACATTCAAAAATGTTTCAACCTCACTTCATTCTTCCTGGTTTTCCCTCATTAGAAGGCGACTGCCAGACAGCAGACCCTGTGTGCCCATCTTGCCTGATGATTATGAAATGCTGGATTGTGCTTTCATTTTTATCCCCAAATTCAGCTGGATTGTGAAGGACGCTGTGTGACTAATCACTGTGCAATCCAGAGTGAGTTCCAAAACGTTGTCCCATGGCTTCATAATGAAGTGAAGTGTGCTGCTTGCGGAAGGATGCAGCCTTGACTGCATGATGTTGGGCAGGTGCCTTTATCTTCTCAGGAAGGATTTCAACATGGGGCAGCACTAGCACTCTGTCACCTCGTGGGCCTGCTGAAGTCACACTCCTCAGAATGGCATCCAGTGTGCTATCTACAGCGGGACACACCTATGACACAGGCGATAGGACTGACACCAATGAAGGCCCAACAGAGCACAGCACCACCGCAATTACAGGAGGGCAGCCACTGGCAGGTGTCAGCCTGCCTGTAGCTTCAGCGGTGTAGCAAATAAATGAACGTAATGAGTTCTTGTTCAATTTGCTATAGTAGAACTTAATGTGATATTTTTTTCAAGTGAGAGTTTTAAAACTAAGTAAGGGCTAGCTCCTCAGAAACAAGCATGATTAACTGAGAATTTATGCAGGCTAAAGTTAAAGTACTAAAAAGATCAAGTGCAATCAATAGCCAAGCGCTCCAGCAGGGAAGAGCTGGCTCTAGGCCAGCAAATGGGATACTGATGGTGCACACCTAAAGGGAAACCTGGTACTTAAACTATCAGCTGCGGTTGATTTTGGTGAAATGTTTGTGAGGGTTTAACTGATGGACCACGTGGTGGAGGATCAAGCATGGCAAGGAGGAGGAGGAAGAGAAAGCTGCTAGGGTGAAGAGGAAGCTTTGAGAGGTAAATACAGCATAGAGCTTGCTACGGTTTGGATCCTGGGTGTCCCTCACAAGTCCATGTCTCCAGAAAGGTGACTGGGAGAGGTGACTTGGAGCCAATTCTTCACATCACTGAAGGGTGCCTTGGAAGAAACAGCAGGTACCAGTCCCATCCTCTCTCGTGCTTCCTGACTGTAAGTGGGTGTTTTTGCTGGCCTATACTCCACACATGATATGTAGTCTTGCTATAGATCCCCAAACAATGAGGTCAACCCATCATACAGTGGTACCCCAAAACTGGAGCAAGAATAAGCCCTTCCTTTTTTGTAAGCTGGTTATTTCAAGTGTTTGCTACAGTGATAGCAAACTGCAAGCTAACACAGATGAGCCAGAAGTGCCCATGGAGGATTTAATGCACGCAGCCAAAAAAGGGCAACTACATCCAACACAAAGATACACGGTTCAGTCTCTATGAGATTCAGGTTGATAGCTAGATACCAGGAAAACCTGAGAACTGTATCGGGAGCATTTGAACAAAGATTCCAATTAAATACCCAGATGCCAAAACAAAACTGTGTCTTTCTCACCCAAGATGTCTATCTAGTTAGCATCTTCATTGCCTGAACCATGGAGGTAGCTCCTTGCAAGGAGACGAAACTTGTCAAGGTTATTTCTCCCTCTTGTTACCTCCCAGCCCATGCTCACACTCCTGCTTGCTCCCTGGGTCTAGACAAATGGGGTATAGGTATATGATGATAGTCATATCCCTTGTCTTCTCAGGATCTAGAACATTTTTCTAGAGGGATGGGATGAGGATGTGATGTAATAAGAAAAAAAATCTCTGAAGAGATTGAGAATTAGCAGACCTGACTCTAGCACTGCTGTCCTAAGAGCCACCATGCACTACTGTGCATGAATCAAACATGAATCAAAGGACAAAGACTTCTGGTATATCCCACCAACAGGGGGTGGGTGGAGCGGAAAATGTACAATACATTCTCCTCCTCTAGTTACTCTGTGGCTTGACAGATTGATCAGCAAAATGCAGAACCACCAACATGTTAGGTGACGGATCCATGAGGTCAGAGACGGAAACGGGAGAACTGCTGAGCGGGTGGGACATGCTCTGGGACAGAGGTCTGAGCTTGTGAACAGGGTACCTGTACAGCCAATGCAGGGCAGACGCTCAGTGACAGGCATCAGGAGGAACTACAGGGGCAGATGTCTTGGTGCTCCCTTCTCCAGACAGCTCAGTGGTGCTCAGGTAATACACAAAGTCACCAGAGTGACAGGGCTGGGGTTATTCGTTATCACAACACAGATTCCTCTTTCTTGGGGATGACTGGTTATTGTTATTCTAAGGTGCCAAATGTGCCAGCAGCAGAGAACACCGCAGCCTTATTAGACAGAATAATCTGAAAGGATCACTAGACTTTGATAGCAAGCTGATGGTGTGAGGATCGCATTTACTGCATGGACAACCAGGCACAAACTATGACCGTGACTGCATACACAGGCATAACTGGGTGAGAGCTGCCGTCCTCGCTTCTTCCCACACCTGCTTAGGCGTGATGATAACAGGCCCACTAGGTTAGCTTCACACTGACGCTGGAAACACTGAATTTCTACCCTAAACTTTTGGGGTCCTGGAACCTCTATTTTAAACTTGGTATGAGTCTGATAGACATGTTTTCCACTTCCATTAGTGCTGCTCTCCGAGCCGCAAGGCTTCACCTAACAATGTAACTGATTCTTCTGGGTAATCCAGAGAATGGCCTAAGTTACCGAGCCTCCGTTTTATTAAAGGTACGGCAAAGAAAATATTATCATCTTTCTTACTTCCTAAGGACAACATGGAGTAAAGGCAGATTTCTTATACTAGGATACAACATTTTCCCATAATTCCATTTGAGCGTCTACTTAGCTCTTAGACGCTAGGCATTAACATTAACACAGCAGGTGACAGACAGACATGACAAACATAATAGTACATGACCAACAAGGTCTCCATCGCCTATGATCAATATTACCTTTGCCTTGTCTCTCATGGAACCTTTTCCAAGGATGGACATTTTTGTCAGCGTTTCTTCTTGTAAGCGCTTCAGAGAATTGCCACGCGGACCCAAAAGCTTCCCCACAAAGTTGAACTAGGAAAAACAAACCGTCCATATTTGTAACATTCAAGTCTTGAAGTAGTTTACCAGCCTTGAACATTGGGAAACACTGTCAAACACCACTATTCACTAACAAGCATTATCTTCCTGCTACATAAATCATACTGTCATGTTTCCACAAACCACATAAAGTCATACCAAAGATGTAAAGTTTAAAAAGAACCTTTGAACTAGCCATTTCAGTGACAGCGGTAATTACGAATTTCCTATCCCACAACCAGGGTTAGGATGAACATCCAGGTGAGAAAAATGGTCCTGGAAGGGGACCCATGGGTTCCCGGGTTTGTCAGCACTTAGAGTTTGTTCACCCGATGGATGGACTAATCCAGGTGAGTTCTCAGTGACTGACAGAGGAGTCACACAGAGAACTCAGGAATCATGGGATCAGAAAGCTATGGTTTCTTGGACAAACAGGGAAGAAAAGAGTTAGTTACTGCACACAGACTTAGACTGTTGTGCAAAGGACAAGAGGAAAGGAGCCACTCTTCCAGGGTCATATGTGGACTGGGTGGTTTGGTGAGAATCAATCATTCTAACATACTTAGCATATAACACACATGCAAGAAACACCTTGAACAAAGGCGTGCTAATGAGAAATGTGCAGTAAGTTTCTAAAGCTTTTCCATAATTGAGACAAATTACCAATATTTGTGTCGCAAACCAGAAACTCAAGCAGCTCACCATTTCTCTTTGGTAAGAATTCTGAGATCACACTCAGGACACTGACTACTGTCTTAGTGATCTATGCCATGGCTGCTGTTGTTTTACAGAAGGAACAACACTCAGCAGCTGATCTAACTATGGCAGTTCAAGTGACTTCCATGAAATCAGAAAACTTCTAAAGTCGAAATGGCAATTTTCATGCTCATTTTTAATTTTATGGGTCTTAAAAATTCAGTTTCATCTTTACATGGAATTATTCCTTACTTTTGAAATTTAAGTATATTTTATATAGTTTAAACTTTCAAAGGAATCACATGGCAGGGGTATCAGCCTCCTGACCCATTTGTGTCTGCCTGTTCTTGCCATCCACTCTGCATCATCTTCTTACAAGTTTCTACTGTTTGGACAGTGAACCCCTGAGCTGGACCTCTAAGTTTAGACAGTGGATCACTTGAACTGCACCTCCAAGTTTCTATTATTTTTCCTGATTTGGCCCTTTTGAGGAACACAACTATATTTCTTGCATAATGTTGATTCTTTGATTTCCTTTATAGAATGACCAATTAATAAACAAGGTTTTCTCCTTTGAATTTTTTTTGATTTTCACAATCCCCCACTCACCCATTTCAAATCCATGAACTCCACTTATTGTTACATCCACCATCCTTCCATACACACGTGTGTCCACACAATCTGCTGAGTCCATTTGAAACTGCTCATATGTATGTGTGAAGACTGTGTTGAGAGCTGACCACTTGTGATTGGATAACCTACATTCTCCTTCCTCACAGGAGACTGACTCTTCCTCTTCCCATAGCCACTGATAGCCTGTATTTAATTCTTCAATGGAGGTGGAACCTTGTGGGATTTCCCCAGTGCAGGATAACATGTTAACAGGCACTGCCACTTTTCAAGTCTTGTTTACACAGCCATTTTTTGTTACTATTCCAAGTGTGCAGCTTCCCTGTCATGTCTCTGAAACACTGCCTCACAGATAAGTCCTGGTCCACCCCATCTTCCTTCATGATCCCTGAGCATTAAGAAGAGATGCTGCATTATCCATGTGCCCGCTGAAGCTGGGCTCTCCAGTCATTTACTCCCTCCATCTTGACCAGTTGAGGATCTCTGTAGAGGCCCCCATGTACTGCAAAAAGCTTCCTAGTTGAGGGGTGAGAGCCACGTATGTATGGGTGATAAGTATTTAGGATGCAGTTAGAAAGTTATACTGGCTTGTTTAGGAAAGCAGCAGCAGCAGGTCCTCCTCTAGGGTCCATGACCACACCAACCATGGGTAAGAGTTGGGTAGGGTTACAGTAACAAGCAACAATTACTTTCTATGTTGAGTCTAACTGCATTTCTTGCTATATAAACTAAACTGTTTGAAAACATTTCCTTGGATGCTTGGTACTGGAGAACATACTTTATTCAGCTCTGAAATCTCCACCCCAAGGCCCTTTCCTAACCCTCCATGCAGTGCCAGAAACAATCTAACCCTAAAGTGAACAAAGTGTGTGGGGGAAGGGGGAAGCAATAAAAGTAATAACCTTAGGATCAGGAACCTGAGCACCTGCCATCTTTTGTTGTTATGTTGGGAAAGGCGCATATAAATCAGTAAAGCTGTAAGACCATCCTTTGGACAAGAAGGGAACAAAAGGACTTCAGAACACGCAGGTCCTGTCCCTGGGGCTGATGCTCAGAGGGAGAGCACTTGCTTAGAATGCAAAAGGTCTTGGATCTGATCACTGACAGCCCAAAACAAACAAAATGTAAAAACCATAAGTGTGCTTCCAATGTTGAGTCCTTCTGCTAGCTCTGAGCTCCTCCAGGCCGTGCCTTGCCTTGAGTGACTCCACTGTGGATGCACATGCTCAGAGAGTTATTCTGCATCTTGCTATGGCAGCAACAACTATCTTCTGTGCAGAGCAAACCAAACCACCGTGCAGACCAATAGCTATAGTATTCACACAAGTAAGGCATTACTACCTATAACTTACCAAACATAACCAGAAGTCACGCACACACGGACATATTGAAACCATACCAGAAAACTCAAACCTGAATACACCAGACCAAAGATGGATGCAAGATCATGAAAGAGAATACCTTAGTATCTGCCTTTTGTCATTTATGTTGAGAAAGTCCTATTTTTCTCCACCTGTAATCAATCTTTCAATCTTCTACAGCTACATAGAAGAGATGAACAGAGTTTCAAAAGTTTTCTTCTAGACTCCACAATTGCTCACATGTGTTTCTCTTCTGGACTTCACAACTGCTCATACGTGTGTTCATACACACACACACAATAAAAATTTAATTAAAAAAAAACTTAAAGTGCTAGAGAGGTAAGAGCACTGGCTGCTCTTCTGGAGGTCCTAAGTTCAATTCCCAGCACCCACATGGTGGCTTACAACCACCTATAATAGGACCTGATGCCCATGCACAGCACTCGTACATTAAAAAAAAATTTTAAAAAAGACTCAAAAATACTTACAGGCACACAGTAATGATATGTCTGTGCTAGGGGAACACAGGAGGAGCCATCTACCCCTCAGCAAACCATCCAAACACGCATCCTTCTCACCATGTCCATTTTGTACACATCCTCAGCAATGTTCACCTGGTCCCCTACAGACACTTGTCCTGGCATCTGTCAGCTCTGTGTTTGCCTTCAGTAACCTCGAGCCCTGTCTCTTCTTCAACAATCCCTCTGTCATTCTGCAACATCAGCACACATCACTGTACAGAGTCTAAAGTTAGCATTAGGAATGGGCACTGGAATAAAGAGCTTAGGGTCACCAGAAACCACACAGTCACAGAAATGGGACTGCTTGGTGAACTGACGCTGACAACAGAAACCACACAGTCACAGAAATGGGACTGCTTGGTGAACTGGCGCTGACAACAGGGACCAGCTTGTGAGCTCACTGTCACTGGGCAGTTTCATACATACAAAATTGAGTGGAAAATACAAACCCAAATTAATACTCAAGTTTTATCAGTAACTACTGGGGCCTTAAATACAATCAAGCATAGAATACACCACAGGGACAGATGGCAGGACCCAAATTTCTGGACTATAAGTGCTAACAGACCAAGAGTGTCTTCTACTCAAGGACGTTATAAAATTTTAATGTGCATTTAAAATTCTTAAAAAGAATATATATCCCAGGACAATATAAAACAATTGAGGTACAGATCAAACAATGTTAATATATTCTCTAGAGATGAAGCTGAATTAAGTTAAAGAAAAAGAGGCTTCGGGTAATTTTTTGGTGTTTGAATATAATATAAAGTACACATTAAAAACTAATTTGAGAAAGCAATAGACTAAGAAGCAGATGAAGCAGGCCCACGGATGGCCACCATCAGCACCTTCAGCACATCACTTCAGGCGTGCCCAGGCCCCTATACCTCCCATGTATGAAGGTTTATAAAAATGCACATTTACATCTTTAAAATACCACTGCTGTGCTACCACTGGTTGAAAAAAAAATCAATAAAGAAAATGGGTGTGGGACTCAGCAGAATACCCTGGATGCAGAGATAATTTCAGCTGAGGAAAGTGTTCTCATGACATTCCCACTGCACCTGGCACTCTCCAAGTCACCTCCATCACTCCTTCAGATTCCGGCCACCTCCATCACTCCTGCAGATTCCGGCCACCTCCATCACTCCTGCAGATTCCGGCCACCTCCATCACTCCTGCAGATTCCGGCCACCTCCATCACTCCTTCAGATTCCGGCCACCTCCATCACTCCTTCAGATTCCGGCCACACCTCTCTGACATTAATTCAGCCTTCAGCCTCTATTGTTTAATGAGATGGCTGCTTTCCACCGTTAACATTATACATTCTCTTAGACTATGCAAAACCTACTTCGATTTTCTCTTTCCTGCATAGTAGCTTCTCAGTAAATACTTATGAAATTAAAGCTTCTTTGCCCCTCAAAGCTAATGGTGCCACTCAACAGTTTATGTCAACTTTCTTTGCTGCTGAGATTATTGCAACATATTTAAGCTGCCAATATATGCTATTATTTCAATGTCTTACTTTTCCTAGCAAATATAACTATTATTTGTGGTAAAGTACACCACTGTTCTATCGAGTGTTGCTTTTAACATGGGATTCGCAAATGGTAGAGAACCCAATGTACTCAGACATTACCAAATCTTTTAAAAAAAAATCAATGGGGATTACAAGTAATTTCTCCAGATTCTATGAGCAAGGAGGCAAAGATGTGGGCAGTGACTGACATGCAGGTGACACACACTTAGAGACTCCTAGCTTACATACGTCTCATCACCATTCAA